TGGTCAGGTCAGGCCTCCACTCAAGGCTACAAAGTTTCAATTATAGAAGATAAATAAATCCCAACAAAAATGGTGGCCGTCACAGAGCTGGAGAGAGAAGGAGGCTTGAATTTCCCCCAGTGATGGAGGAAGCCAAGCTTCCACAGCCCTGGCCTGCCTTGGCCTCTGATCAAGGCTACCAAGTTTCAATTATACAAGATAAATAAATCTCAGATACCAGGGCCTCCATTTGGGTCACAGGGGGCATGGCTGGCCTGAAAACCACCACAGGTCTCTCGCTCAGGTCACCCCATGCCCCAAGGAAACCCTCACCCTGATCTGGGAAACCCTTCAGGGCAAACCAGTTGGCCCCCACCATGCACCAGGCCTCTATCCTATCTAATAAAAGAATAATATGAAAATTGACCATCACTCCAACACAAGATGGCTGCCCCCATGTGGTCAAAGATGGCTTCCCCATGTGGACACAAGATGGCCACCACAAGATGGCTAGCAAGGGAAAGCAGTTGGGAGGGATAAGGCCTGCAAGAGAGGGCAGTTGTGGGTGATCAGCAGGGTAGGGCAGTTAGGGGTAACCAGGCTGCAGAGGAGGGCAGTTAGGGGCAAACAGGCTGGCAGGGGAACAGTTAGGCATCAATCAGGTTGTCAAGGGAGTGGTTAGGGGTGATCAGGCTGGCAGACAGAAGCAGTTAGGGGCAATCAGGAAGGCAAGCAGGTGAGCAGTTGGGAGCCAGCAATCCTAGATTGTGAGAGTGTCTGACTGCCCATTTAGGCCCAATCCCAGTAGGGTTCCCAGATTTTAAAGGGTGCATATTGGAGAGGGTGCAGGCTGGGCTGAGGGACACACACCCCTGTCCATGAATTTCATGCATCGGGCCTCTAGTCAACACTATAAAAGGCCAGGTTCCATAACATCCAAAATGACCAAACAGAGGCCCGAACATCAGGAAGTGCATAGAGCACCTCTAGGTCCTTTCCTCTCCCCCCATCCCATTCCCATGCTCCCATCGATGAATGGCCAACAGGAAACCAAGGGGAACCAGTCTGGAGACTGGCAAGTGGGCACAAGGCAGACCTCTTGGTCCCTCCCCCGAGCTACAGACGCCCATAGATCCTCAGTTTCTTCTGAAAGGAACGTGGCACCTTCACTGCACAGCCTCCCGGATCTGTACTCACCGCTATGAAATACTCCAGAGTGGACACTTCAACAAGGACTTCAACATCTGCAGCAACCCTCAGCCTTCACTGCTGGGAGGTGGAAAGAGAGCGTCAACTTTAAAGCACAAACACTCTCCTTGGGAAAAACCGCCACCTCCTTACTCCATAGCTGCTTCCATGCAAGAAATTGTGCATGCTCCTCCCTGAGAGATGGACAAGGCCAAATCCTGAGTTGGTCATTTCCACAATGGCAGCTGGGCCAGTGCAGGGAGGGAGGGCAGGGAAGGAGCAAGGAGGAAGCCCCAGTTCCTTGCACCTCCTCTCACAGGCATAGCCTTTCCTGGTGTTACGATAAAAAGAGCTGTTTTTTTCTAACTCTGTCTGGGTAAAGGAAACAAGTGTCTGTTGACTTCCAATCTTATTCTCCAAGCTTCCAGTTAATCCCTCTGGATGTATCATATCCACCCTCAGAAAGATCCAAGGAATAGGTTCAACCTTCGTTTCATAGTTGAGGAAACTGACCAATAAACACATATGTCTCATGTCTCAGTGTCAATTCCCATGGAAATCTCTGGGTAATAACCCAGATTCTATATCTAAGGGTATGTTTTCATGTTTAATTCAACCCCAGGAATCAAATAATATGATAAAGAATAAAATGAATTCATAGGGCTCACCATTGTACTCCCAGGGCCTTTAGTTTCATACAAACTGCATAGTTCAGTTATCCTGAGATGAAAGAAAAGGAAAGAGAAATGAGAAAGATTTCACAGCTCAGTCACAGAGACATCTTATAGCTACATACTAAGGACACAACATAGACCATCTAGGGGTGGAAAGGACACAAATGGAATAGAAGATGGATCTATTTCCATTCAGATTCAAACCAAATTAACGAGGCAGAAGAAACACTGGATGTCATGTAAGAATTAGACGAAACAGTGCAATAGAGAGTGTCACAGACTTTACAGGGACAGCACCAGAGGCTCCTGACATGACGGGAGGAGAGAAGGGGCAGGATGAGAGGAAGTGCATGGAAAGGCCTGGGAGTAGGAACAAGAGGATGATATGTGGAAGGTGGGCACCACAGGGTGATGACAGGAGACAAGCCTGTGGGAGGTGTCCAAGTGCCCCGACCTCTACTGAAGGGTGCCTACATCTGTCCTAGGAGCTGCGGCTGATGGAGAGGGAGGCTATGGCTCTATGTGGATGAGTTGCTAATGAGAGCCTCCCTGCAACCACAGTACTCGGTGTTCTCAACAGGGCGGTAGCACAGGATCATGAACATCACGAAAGAAAAAGCATCCTATTCCCAACTTGTTCACAGACTTTTATTTCTGTTATCTATATTCCCAATGAGTCCACAAGTATTATACATTTGGAAAAAGAAAAAAAATTGTACATGATTGACTGCATCTTTAGAAAACCCAAGTGATTACTTTTAACCCTAATGAGTCAAATACACTGATGATCAAAAATGGATCCTGAGACAGGTGCATGAACAGACTGTGGATCCTCAGAAGGAAGGTGGGGGAGGGTGGGTGGGTGGGAAGAGATCAACCAATGGCCTGTATGCATATATGCAGAGATCAACCAATGGCCTGTGTGCATATATGCATCACCCCTGGACACAGACAATGGGATGGTGAGGGCCTGGTATGGATTGTAGGCTGGAAAAGGTTAATTGTCGAAAGAGGACCTATGTAAACCATTCAACAATGAAGATTTAATAAAAAGAGTAAAAAATAAAAGAAAATTAAAAAGGAAAAGAAAGCCAAGAATAACTGCCCTGGCCAAGTGGCTCCATTGGTTGGAGCTTTATCCTGTACATTGAAAAGCTGCAGTTTAAACCCGGGTCAGGGTTAGTGCTGTTCGGGAGTCCACTGAGCAAGTATTGCTTGGAGGAGGGAAGCACCTCAAACCTAAACACAGTTCAGGCCTCGCCCATGATCCCAGACCCATCTTCTGCTGAGTGAGACCAAACCTCCTAGCTTCCTATCGAGTCCCTGGTCTCTGAGTCATCGGACCACTTCCCCATGTTCCCCATAATGCACTGTTCAGTAACCATCTATACTAATAAAAGGGTAATATGTTAATTAGACCAGATATCCCTCCAGACCAAGCCACAGTGGTGAGAGCTGAGGCAGAGGCAGTTAGAGGCAACCAGGCCGGCAAGGAAGGCAGTTAGGGGCAATCAAACCTGCAGGCAGAGTGGTTAAGGGTGATCAGGCAGGTAGACAGGCGAGCAGTTAGGAGCCAGCAGTCCTGGATTGCGATAGGGATGTCCCTGCAGGATTGAGCCTAAACTGGCAGTCGGAATCCTCCAAGGGGTCCCAGATTGGAGAGGGTACAGGCTGGGCTGAGCCCCCCCACCATGCATGAATTTCAAGCACCAGGCCTCTAATAAAAGAAGAAGGAGAAGGAGAAGGAGAAGGAGAAGGAAGAAGGAGAAGGAGGAGGAGGAGAAGGAGGAAGAGGAGGAGGAGGAGAAGAAGAAGAAGAAGGTCTTACCCTTTGAGATAGCATGAATCCCCCCCCCCAATGCATGAATTTCATGCACCAGGCCTCTAATAAAAGAAGAAGAAGGAAGAAGAAGGAGGAGGAGGAAGAGGAGGAGGAGGAGGAGGAAGTAGAAGAAGAAGAAAGGGAGGGAGGGAGGGAGGGAGGGAGGGAGGGAGGGAGGGAGGGAGGGAGGGAGGGAGGGAGGGAGGGAGGGAGGCAGGGAGGAGGAGGAGGAGGAGGAGGAGGAAGAAGAAGAAGAAGAAGAAGAAGAAGAAGAAGAAGAAGAAGAAGAAGAAGAAGAAGAAGAAGAAGAAGAAGAAGAAGAATTTACCCTTTGAGACAGCATGAAGGGACCTGGAGAATTAGTCAGTCAGGAAAAGACAAGTTTCACATGATCACACTCATATGTGGAATCTAAGTGACAAAATAAACTGATGAATAGAGTGGATTCAGAGGCATGGAAGCATGGAATAGAGTGCAGAATCTTATAGGGAAAGTGGGGGAGTGTGGATTGATAGGAGGTACTCAACCTTGTATGCATAACTCAGGGACACAGACAATAGGGTACTGAAGGCCTTGGGGTGCAGGGGGAGCTGGGGGGGGGGGTTACAGGGGGAAGGGAAAAAGAGGACATATATAATACTTTCAACAATAAAGAATTATTAAAAAAAAAAAAAAAGAAAATAAATACAAATACCACACGTTTTCATTTATATGTGGAATCCAAAAAACAAAATAAATGGACAAACAAAACAGAAACAAACTCATGGATACAGAGAAAAAAAAATGATGATTACCAGATGAGAGGGGGATTGAGGATGATGTGTGAAAAGGGTGAAGAGATTAAGAAGTACAAATTGCCAATTATAAAAACAGTTATGGGGATATAAAGTATAGAATAGAGAATATAGCAAATATTATTATAATAAGTATGTATGTTGTCAGGTACTAGAGTTATTTGATTGATCACTTTGTAAGTTATATAAATGCCTAATACCTATGTTTTATACCTTAAACTAATGAAATATTGTATGTTAAATGTAATGGAAAAAATTTTTTTTAATTCTATAAATAAATAAAATGTCATAGCTAAAATTATAAATAACTCCAAGTCTTGAAGATGACTCATGTTCTATTTCAGGAAGGATCCAGAGTGAGCACTATGATTTATTTGTAATTTCTTGTCATGAAAAATGTAGACTGTAGGTCATTTAAACAAAGAAAGCTGGTTTGTTGTTGTTGTTTTTTCATTATATTGGTAGACCCCATACATTTGTTCATTTGATATTTCATATCTTTTGATCATACTGATTTTCAATAATTTTGTCTTTTACTTTCAGAAAGAGTTTTGGAACACCTATACAAAAGCGCAACAAGGTGAAAGTAGCAGAGGAAGTGACTGGTTTCAATTTTACCTCACCTTTCCATTAATCTTTGGCCTTTTTATTATCCTCCTTGTCATTTTCCTAATCTGGAGATGCTTCCTAAAAAACAAAACTCGCAGACAGACAGTGACTGAAGATCACATCCCTTTCCCTCAGCACCTTAATATTATCACTCCACCTCCCCCACCAGACGAAGTGTTTGATAGCAGTGGAATTTCGCCAAGCTTTCTGGAATATGTAGTTGGGCGCTCAGATTCTGTCTCCACTCACCTGTCCAACTGCGATCCTCCACCAACCTATGAGGAAGCCACAGGACAGATGAACCTTCAGAGGGTTGAAACAGAAACTCATTTAGGACCCCCCCCGGAGTATGAGGACATCATCAATTCCAACTCATCTTGTGCCATTGCTATGGTGCCTGTGGTCACCACCATCAAATGAAACAGCAAACTTCTTTTTACTATAATCATTTTTAGAATACTAATAAAACAACTGTCTACCACTTTACCACTACATAAATATGCATTGACTTATTTTATTGGACTCTGACAGTATATCACTTCACATCTTCTGATTTGATTTTAATTAGTTTTGTTTCCTACTATAAAATCATTATACATGCTCATTTTAGGTAATAGGAATATGTGAAGAGGGGAAAACAGTGGTCTTTATGTGATGTGATGAGTTATACATATGTATGTGTATTCATGCACATATACACATATACCAGTGTGTACATCAGCCCAGCATATGTGCAATGTGTTAAATAGCCATTAACTTCTGTCTAAATCACCTGTAAATTACTCACTAAAAATGGGGGAGGGGGGAGACTGTCAAGTTGTGTAATAGATAGTGAAATGCAGTTCAATTTTGAAAATAAGATGAACTTAGTATGTTCTCTGTTTTTTATTGGCTTTTGTTAAACGTTTTCTTCAACTACCTTAGTAGAAGAAAATACATGTAGTCCATCTTGATTTTCAGAACATCCCAGGAAGATAGATGGAAGGGACAGTAAATAATAACTTGGTTATAGTGTATAGCAAGAAAATTATTGGTAAATAGTTGAATTTGGCTAATTTTATAGGAGGGAATTTTTTGTTGTTGACTGTCCCACCTCCCAATTAAACAGTGTTTGCTTACTAGTTTTGAATGTCTCATGCTATTTGTATTAACATCTTGGTAGAGGGGATTTCCTGCAAACAGAATAATTTCTAAAGTACATATATGTATTAATGACAGTGAATAAAGATTTCTCCTTTGCTCTTTGGTGACAACAATTATTTTCTTCTCACTGTTTTGTTGCTTTTTACTCTACTTTCTACTCTTCCTACCACCATAGAATCGTCAAGTACCTATGAATTTAGTTAAAATAAAATTCTTAAAATTATTTTCTTAATGCTTTTTTATAGACTGAAGTCTCTGTGTCAAGATGATTAAGACAATTTCCCATTAAATTGAGAATTGTAATTTTTATATTGCTCTCCAGTTGGTGGAGGAATATTGCAAAGTCTGTTGTGCCAGGTGCACAATAAATCTAATTATAATAGCTTAACAAAGATCTTGTTCTTGTTATTTCATTTTGGGGTTTTTTCATCAGTTTTTTTTTAACTTCATGATTTTTACTTTTCCTTTGGATCAGAGTGAACAGCTATGAATGAACTGCCAATATAAACTAGCTCAGAAAGAAAAGTACAACAGTGTTTTTATACAAAGTTCCATAATTTATGTCACTGGTGGGAAATTCATTTTATTAATATTAGTCAGAAAGATGTCTCTGCCACTCCCAGGCTTCCTTGGTCTTGGGTAAAATAGTGGATGAAGTAATGGAATGCAGGTTTAGTAAGTATCATACACTGCTGCCTCCATCTCCATCCCCATTGACCCCCTCCCTCAATCTTGCCCTGAAACCAAAGGAAGAGGAAATGCTTAGGAGAATCCTGAACTAGAAGTCAGATGACATGAATTCTAATCCCTCTCTGTAATATACTTGCCATGGTACCTCAGGAAAGTCCCATATCTGGCCCTCAAATTCCTTAACTCTGAAATGGCAATAAAATCATTTGCCCTCTTCTTCTCCAGTGACATCAAAGGATCTAATGATATGATGTGTATGAAAGCAATTTGTAAGATATGAAGAGGTCATAGCATTGTTCTTATTGTCCTTAAGAGAGAATTTTCTCCCCATACCCCTAAAATTTTTCTGAGTTTTTACATAATGAGAAATAAAATAGGCTGTCCCAGAAATGGCTGACATGTTCCTGATCTGAGTGTGAAGGCTATTAGTTAAATTCCTGTCATTCTCTGGTCTATATCAAGGCTGTGCCAACTTAAAGAGACAGCCAGTTTAACACAAACTGGATTAAGAATATGTTAGAAATAGAACAGGTGTGCTTAGTTAATAGGTTTTGTAGCTTTCATGGGCTAAAAATGAATAAATCTTCTCCCTGGTCTCAACAGAAATGACAATACTGTTTTGGATTTAGCCATGGTAATAGTTAAAGCTTAAAGTTGAAGTGTTTAATACTGTGACTTCTGTGTGTATGTGTGTGTATTTTGGTTTATTCTACAATAAAAATTAAGGCTCCTTTTGTATAGATTTTTATGTCATTAGTATCAGACCTTAGATTAAACAGCAGTTTTCAAAAGTGCATTCCTTGAGTTCTGGGGTGTCCTTGAGACCCTTTTAGGGGATAAGTGAGATCAAAACTATTATAATATTACAAAGCTATTATTTATCTTTTTATTCTAACTCTCAAAATAGTGAAAATATAAAACAATGCGATCTTCCCTCAGATCTTATTTCTGTTTTAGAAAATATGGGCATTTTATTTAAAACATTATTTATGTTAGCACATAGTGGACTTTTTAATTTTTAAATAAATAAATACTTTTTAAATTTGTACACATCCTAATATGGCAAATATGGATAGATGTCAACTCCATAAACAAAGCTTTTTGGCACCCAGATCCCCAATAAAATTAACAATATAAGGAGACCAAAAGTTTCAGAATTACAAGATTATACAAAGGATCAGAATGTTCTGTTACTAAGTATATTTTCTTTCTTTTTTAAAAATATTTTTGCAACTTTATTTTACATTTCAAACACCTGATACTGGACTTAATGTTACCTTTTATTGATACCTGAACTGCAATGTTGATCCTTGAAACAAAATCCAAATGCTTAAACTGATCAATGACCACAGCTTTTCAGATTATTGGTTAAAGAAAGCATTCCTACTCCATAGTGATAACTGGCATCAGTAACAGGTCTCCCTCCTGGCAGCATTGGCATCATGATGACAGGATAAACAAAATACCACTTTATTCAAGAAGCATTCTCTTGGGTTTGTTTGGTTAGTTTGGTTTGAATTTGTTTATTTGGGTTTTACATTTTTAAAAACCCTTTTGCTATGCCACCTGGTTTTATAAACTGAGTTTCTTAATATGTTTTATAATTAAAGGGGCTTGTCTGGAATAAATATATTTTTATGCTTTTGCCTTTCTTACCTGACAGATACTACATTCACCTTTGATCATTTTTAATAAAGATTTAGTTTTGCAGATATATTTAGTGCCTTTCTTAAGCAGTAATTAAACTGAATCAATCAGTTTGCATTTAAATGAAAGAATGAGCTTAATGGGAGTTCTTCCAGTGGAAAGGTTTCCAAACTTACACATGTAGTATTAATAGTTATAACTAGAATACTAGAACTATCTGCCTCTCTATTTTTAAATATCACAATTAATTGTATCTGTTTAAAGTAAATTATATTTCTCTTTTTATATTGAACAATACAATACTGATGCTGTGTTTGATTCATTGTTAAATATGACTTAAAGACTGATGATCTGATATGATAACTAGAGGTTGCTTTAACTTGGTTTTGTGTAAATTTCATTATGATATTTCACACTTTTAAACACTTGGTTTACATTAAATTATGATATTTAACTATTTTTATGTTTATACTAGGTAATGTTTTTCTTATATCTATGTTTTTGGTATGCTAAATAAAGCTGTTTTTAAACTCAAGAGACTTTTTCTACCATGTGTTAATTATATTATGACTAGTTAATAAACATGTTGCATAAATTCTTATGAATTATGGTCTTTTTAACAAGGTAAAAATTATTTTTCTTTTTCTTAAGGATTTAAGTAATATTACTCCAGAAATAAAAAATTATCTAGTGACAACCTCAGGGTGTTCTCAGCAAGAAAGAACTTTCTGTACTATTTTTGAATGATGCTAGCATGACACAAAATGGAAACACTTGCTTCAAAAGGATAGACTGAACTCCCTACAGTGGTGTAGATTGCCAAGTACTAGAAATAGTGTTATCTAAAGATATCAAGGACCTGGATTTTTTCCTCCTTAGCAGAATAGATTGCACTTGATATTTAGAAAATTAGAAAGGAAATCACAGAAAACATATGTAATAACAAGGAAGCTTCTTAAGTGTAGTTACCTCAAAAACTAAAGGTTAATGTGATATGTCATTAAACAAACAAATGTAAATATGACTTGATTTTTATGGTATAAAATTTTAATTATATTTGAGGAGGAATTTTAAGAATATATTATAAGTCTAAGTATTCATTTTCTAAGCATCATTTCCCAAAGAGTTGTCCAAAATATCATAACAAGGTATTTTTGTTATGCCCAGATTTTAAGATTCCCCAAGGACCAACAGGGAGCCGAGTCCGATGCAAAAGCAAAAGTGCTTTTATTCAAACTCAAGCCTGGACTTTCTGCCTCTACTGACGCAGTGGCAGAATGCAGAGAGCCCTGAGCTCTGAAAGTGTAGTCCTTTTATAGGGTTTAGGGTTGGGTGGTGGGGTGATGCTCGGACCACTGAATTGGCTGGTTCTGATTGGTGGGGTGAGGGCCAGGGTCCAGTTACGCTGGGTTACTTCCCTCTGCATTTATTTTGGCTGATTTAAGGGTGGGTTGGGTAATTGATACACTTTGTGGTTTTTCTCAGAAAGGGATAACTGTCAGAGACATAGTCACACAAGATGGAAGACACAGTACAAAACAGAATCAGTCCTGCTTTGCCCTTGAAAGAAGGCCCACATTCTGGGAAGGGGCCATGAGACTGTATCTCAAGGCCTGGACTGGTGTCAGCACTGATAACTCTATCTGGGGCACAGTCCACGGCCCCTCTGGAAGCATGCTCAAACATTCTCACTCTCTAAAACATATAGCAATTTTTCTCTGCCGGCTCCTCACAGGTGCAACCCCTTATGATTCACTTATATATTTCTTGGGAAAACTTTCCCAACAGAAAATTTTGAGTTTAGAATATTTTATTTTTATAAATACTAGATTAGTTATATTAAACTACTGGTGATTTTGGGGTGGCAGTTAGAGTTAGTGCATTAAGTATTTCGGATGCTCGAGGAGATCTGTAAGGATGCCACTGATTAATTCAGTGTT